TGGAAATGTAGCTCAGTGTGAGGGCCCTGTATTCAATTCCTAGTACTGCTCCCACAAAAATTATAAAAAAATAAAAAAGGGTTGGTGGTCAGTTCAAAGGTCCTGGGTTCAATCCCCAGTACTGAAAGAGTTGAGTTGTTTTGTTTCTTTACTGTCAAATTTTAAGACTTCTTTATATATTCTAGATTTTTAAAAATCACTTTTTTTGGTATTAGGGATGGAGCCCAGTGCCTTTGCCCTAAGTTACATCCCTAGCCCATTTTTTTGGTACCAGGGATCCAACGTGGGTCCTTGCACTTGTGCAGTAGACTGAGAAACCACTGAGCTAAATCCCCGGCTCTATCCCTAACCCATTTTAAAAAAATTTTAATTTTGGGCCAGGGATTTAGCTCAGTGGTTTCACTGCCTGCTGTGCAAGCGTAAGGACCCGAGTTTGATCCCTGGTACCAAAAAAAAAAAAGAACCAAAAAATTTTTTAAATTTTGAGACAGGCTCTCTCTAAGTAGCTAAATTGTCTAGGCAGGGCTCGAACTTTCCATGCTCCTGTCTCAACCTCCCAGAGGGCTGGGATTACAGACATGCCCCCTCGCCCAGCTAAAGCAATCTTTTGTCAGATTGTATCTTGCTCTAGCTTTTCTTTCTTTTTTTTCCTAGCTTTTCTTTTTCTTCTTTAAAAAGTATCCCACAGAGACTTACTGATATAAATTACTCTCCACAGTGAGCCATAAAATTAACAAATCATGTGCTTCCAAAATTCAAGGGTGGGACTGACGCTGAATGGACATTCCCGTTCCAAAGGGGGAGAAATAGACATACTTAGCAAAACCCAACAGAGAAAATAACAGTAAGTCGCTTCAGCCCATACAGGTTGGAGTTTCTTGATGGAGTTGTTTCTTTGGAGACAGGGTCTCACTCTGTGGTGCAGGCTGGCCTCAAACTCACAGCAATCCTCCTGCCTCAGCCTCCCAAGTGCTGGGATGACAGGCATACATGGCCACACCTGGCACACGGGTTGGAGTTCTGTGCCTGCTGCTTTTCCAGGTTGGAACTGTACACTAGGTATCTAGCTGAGGATCTCCATAGTGGCCCCACTCCTGTGATGTTTTCTGCATGGGCTCCAGGCTGTTTGCAAGATGCTTGAAATCTCGGCGGAGGCAGCCATGACTATGCAGCTCCTGCTACCTATGCACCTGGATGTTTAGCACCACGGACAGGGCTGCGGTTTGGAAGGATTTTTCCAAAATGCTGGCCAAGCTTCACCTGGGTCCATGTGAGTCATAACCAAGGCAGCTGAGGGGGTTGCACCAGAATTCAGGGTACAGAATCTCATAATGGTGCAGGGAAGCAATGCTGAGGCCTTCTTTGGAAACTGGCCTCCCAGGTGCTGCTCTGGACCTGCGATGGGAAAGACAGGCACAATGATCTCTGCAGCACCTTTTGGGTTTTCTCCCATTGTTTCTATGAACAGCACTCGGTCTCCTTCTAGCCATGGAACTCTCGAGTGAACTCACTTAGCTACATCCTTGTTTAGTATCCGAAAGACACCTTTTCACTCTACAAGATTAGCCTATGGATTTTCCAAATCTTTCTCTTTTTTCCCCAAATCTTTCTGATTTGTTTCCTTTTCAATGATAAATTCTGTCTGTAAATCATTTTTTCCTTTTGCATCTTACTGTTCGCAGGAGCCAGGCATGGCAGTGCACACCAGTCACCTCAGCACTCCGGGACACTGAGGCAGAAGGATTGCAGGTTTGAGCACAGCTTGGCCAATTGAATGAGCAAGACTCTGTCTTAACATAAAACTGTGAAAGGGCTTGTGATGTAGCTCAGTGTGAAGTCCATGGATTCAATACCTACCACCAAAAAAAATCATGCACACAGCTACTTTTACTTTATATGTATCTATATTTTGTGGTGCTGGGGATGGAACCCAGGGTCTTGTACATAGTAAGTGAACACCCTACCACTGAGCTATACCTCCAACCCTTAAAAATTTTTTAAAATGTTGAGACAAGGTCTCAATATTTTGCTTAGAAATTTCTTCCAAAGAAAAGGGAAAGAAATTTCTTCCACCTGATATCCTAGTTTGTTGCTGTTAAATTCTGCCTTCCATAAAGCCATCAGTCATAGACACAGTTCAGCCGAGTTCCTTGACAGTTTATAACAAGGATGGGATTTAGTTTCCAAGAATATATTTCTCATTTGCATCTGAGAACTCATTGGGTTCACATTTCCATTAATATCATAACCATGGCTGCTTAAGTAATCTTCAAAAAATTCAGACTTTCCCTGCATTTCTTCTTTTCTTCTGGGACCGCACCAGAATCTCATTTAATGTTCAATTTGTGCAAATATAGGCTTTTCCTAACCTGTTTGTATGAATTCTTATGGTCTCTACTGATTACCTAGTTCCAAAGCCATTTTCACATTATCAGGTATTTGTTGTAACATCCCAACTCCAATTTTCTGTCTTGGCCTTTTTTCGTAATAAATGAGATTGAGCCCAAGCCCTTTACACTGAGCTATATCCTCACCTCCATTAATTTTTACTTTTGAGCCAGGATCTTGCTAAGTTCCTAAGTTTCCTGGGTTAGGCTTATACTCCAGATCCTCCTGCCTCAGCCTCCCAGAGTGCTGGGGTTAAAGACATGTGTCACCATGCCCAACTTGCCTAGCTTTTTAAAGTTTTTGCTTTTTGGTACTCCTATAGTAGAATTCTATATGCTGGGTAATTTACAAAGAACAGGGATTTATTTCTCATGGTTCTAAAGGCTGGGAAGCTCAAGAAGGAAAGGCTGTATCTGGTGAGGGCCTATTTTTTATTTTATTTTAGTTTTTTTGGTACCGGGGATCAAACTCGGGACACCTTGTGCTTGTGAGGCAGGCGGCAGAACCACTGAGCTAAATCCCCGGCCCCCTATTTTTTATTTTGAGACAGGGTCTAGATAAATTGCCCAGACTGATCCTCTTCCCTCAGCCTCCCAAGGAGGTGGGATTACAGGTGCACACCACTGTGCCCATTCGTGGGGTTCTTGTTGTTTCATCATCCCGTGGGAGAAGGTGGAAGAGCAAGGAGCATTAGAACCATGAAAGGGACAAAGACCACTTCCAACATAACCCACCCATTTCAGGGCCGGGGGTGTAGCTCAGTGGGGCCACCGCCTGCCTCGCAAGCGGAAGGTCCCAAGTTCGATCCCCAGTACCAAACAAACAAACAAAAAACAAACCCACTTCTGCCAAAATAGCATGAATCCATTCAAAGGTCCGTGCCTCACGACCTAATCATGCCCTAACGGTCCCATCTGTCAACACTTGTGCTGAGCATTAAGGTTCTGACCCAAGACATTTGAGAGAAGAGAGCTGGGCCTGGCAGTGCATGCCTATGATCACAGCATTGGCTAAGGAGGCTGAGGCAGGAGTATAACCAGGAGTTCGAGGCCAGCCTGGGCTACACAGTGAGTTCAAGCTCAGCCTGAACTACATAGTGAGACCCTGTCTGAAAAAACAAAAAACACTGGCTGGGGATTTAACTCAGTGGTGCCACTGCCTGCTTCAAAAGCACAAGGTCCTGAGTTTGATCCCTGGTAAAAAAAAAACCCCTAAAAAACAAAAAAAGAACTTCACAAAGGAAAAAACTTTGAGAAACACATCAAGGCCTGCAGTATAAAAATGCTCATTTTTCTGGTGGGGAAACTGAGCCTCAGGAGGGGTAGGTGTTACTGAATAACACGTAGAGATTCCTTATTGCAAACCTCCACAGCCATGGGCCAGGATCCTCCTGAGGGCCACCCTCACCTCTTTGTTGCGCAGCGTGTACACCACAGGGTTCAGCAGTGGAGTCACCACTGTGTAGAACATGGCCACCAGGTGGTCCCACTCGGGGCTGGCCCCAGAGTCCGGATGCAAGTAGATGATGGCAGCGCAGCCAAAATGCACAATGACCACGGTGAGGTGGGCCGCATAGATGGAAAAGGCTTTGTGGCAGCCGGTGGCCAAGGGCATCTTCACGATGGTAGCCACAATGAAGGTGTAGGACAGCAGGATGAGGAGGAAGGAAATCAGCACCACAAGGACACTCAGGAAAAAGATGCCCAGTGCTTTGAGTGCACCCTGGGTGCAGCTGAGCTTCAGCACTGGGGCGATGTCACAGAAGAAGTGCTCCACGCGGGCCCCATGGCAGAAGGGAGAGGAGAAGATCATGCAGGTCTCAATCGAGGCCACTGAGAACCCAGAGCAGCAAACCAAGGCTCCCAGGCAGAGGCAGACAGTGGGTCTCATGATCATCGAGTATCTCAGGGGATGACAGATGGCCACGTACCGGTCATAACCCATCAGGGTAAGGAGGAAGCAGTGACTGCATCCCAAGCCCAGGAAAAAGAACATCTGAGCCCGACATGCAGGGATGGAGATGGCCTGGCTCTCCATCAGCAGATGAGCCAGCATATTGGGGATGGTGACCAGCGTGTAGCAGGTCTCAGAGAGGGACAGCACTGCCAGGAAGCGGTACATGGGCGTGTGCAGGGTCCGATCCACATGGATGATGGTGATGATGGTGACGTTGCCACTGAGGGTGACCAGGTAGGTGAGGAGGAACAACGTGAAGAGCGTGGTCCTCAGGTGTGGGAGGTTGGAGAATCCAACCAGCACAAATTCTGTCACCAGCCACGTCCCATTTCCCCACAGCTTCTCAGGAGCCTGAGAGGAGACACAGAAAAATGGAATAGAGCAGCATAGTGAGGGCCTGCTAGGCATCAGCAAAGCAGGAGAATCATCCCTCTCTTCAAAACAGGACAGAGGACTCCAAAATGCTATGTCATTTCCTTTCCTAATATCACCCAGAGGATGTTTCCTCAGTGGATAAGAAAATCATAAGAAGTGGTGGTCCACACCTGTAATCCCAGCCCTCTGGGAGGCTGAGGCAGAAGGACTGAAGTTCTACCCCAGCCTGGGAAAATTAGCAACTTAGCAAGACTCTGTCTCAAAATAAAAAAGATAGGTAAGCAAAGCATACAGTACACCAAATAGCCATGATCAGAAAATACATTATACATCATAGTCAAAATCCCAGAAGTCCAACACAATGAAAGAATCTTAAAAAGAAAGAAACAAATAGAGAGAAAGAAACAAATCACTGTTAGAGAAGAAACAAATCACTTATAAAGGAAAATTCATTAAAATTACAGCAGACTTCTCAACACAACCTTAAAGAGCTTTGAGAGAAGTGTTTCAAGCCCTAAAAGAAAACAACTTCTGATCTAGACTGATATATCCTGCAAAACTATCTTTCACAATTGGTGGAGAAATAAGGTATCTCATCTCCAAGACAAAAGAAAAAATTCATGACCATGAAACAAACACTCCAAAAAATTCTCAAAGGTATCTTAGAAAGAGAGAATGAACCCAGCAATGCCAAAAACTCAAATAGCATGTATAGACCACAGAGGGTGAGTCATTCAACAGAAGGGGTCAATAAGGGAATCAGCAACAGGAAAATAATGAGATTACAGGAATAAGTTAATACCTTTCAGTAATAACTCTCAACATGAATGGTCTCAGATCTCCAGTCAAAAAACACAGATTGGCAGGGCTGGGGATGTAGCTCAGTGGCACCATGCCTGCTTGGCAATAGCAAGGTCCTGAGTTCAAACTCTCATACCAAAAAACAAAACAAAACAAAACACACAGATTGGCAGAATGGATACAAAACAAAACTCAGTATTATGCTGCATACAAAGAAACACATTTAACCCAAAAAGATGTTTATAGACTAAAAATCAGAGAATAGAAAAAACACTACAACATGCAATGGGAGCCCAAAAGGAAACAGGAGTAGCTATCCTATTTTGAATTTTTTTTTTTTGGTACTGGGGCTCAAACTCAGGACCTTGCACTTGTGAGGCAGGTGCCTGAATCACTGAGCTAAATCCCCAGCCCTAGCCATCCTATTTTCAGACAGAGTGGACTTGAAACCAAAATTGATCGGAAAAGGCAAATTCATTACATAGTGATTAAGGGAACAATTCAACAGGAAGAGATGACAATTACAAATATATATGCATTCAAATTCTGGCACATTTAATTTTATAAAACAAACACTACTTGACAGAAAAGATCAGATCAATATCACCACAGTTATAATGGGAGACCTCAAACCCCTCATCAAAAATAGATTAATTAGACAAAAAAAATCAACAAAGAAATATCAGAGATGAACCATTTATCTTCCATCGACTGGTCTTAATCCATATCTACAGAATGTTCCACCCAATGACAACAGAATAACATTCTTCTCATCAGCACGTGGGACTTTCTCCAAAACACACTGCATATTAGCCCATGGTTGTGGTTTATCACTAAGTGTCCCCCCAGAGCCTCACAGATTCATAGGTGGGGCTTTTGGGAGCTGATTGGATAATGGGGGTGTGATACTCATCAATGGATTAGTCCACTGATAAGTTTATAGCTGGTTGTGATGTTGGGAGGAATCCTGGTAAGAAATTGTAGGTCACTCTAGCCATAGCCTGGAACCGTATCTCTCCTTTCTTCCTCCACTGATCTCACACTGCTTCCTGCCTGCCATGGTATGAGCTGTTCCTTCTTTGCCATGCCTCTCTGCCATGCCACCTGGTTTGAAGTCAGCTGACTATGGGCTGAAACCTCTACAAACTGTGAGCCAAAATAAACCTCTCCTTCTTTAACTTGTGGGTTTTGAGTATTTTGTCCCACCAACAAAGAAAGTAACCAAGGCACCCATGAAACATAAATAAACAAAAAAGAATCAAAAATTTCCCATGGATATTATCAGATCATAGTGCAATGAAAGTAGAAATTGATGGCAGAAGAAACCACAGAAATTTGCAAACACATGGTGATTAAACTATACACTCTTGAGTCATCAATGAGAAACAGGAGAAATAAAGGAAGAAATTAAACAGTTCCTAGAATCAAATGATAACACCAGTACAACATTCTAGAACCTATGGAACACAATGAAAGTCATCCTAAGAGGGAAGTTTATAGCTCTAAATGTCCACATCAGAAAAACAGAATCAGCCCAAATAAACAATCTAATAATGTAGAAAAATAATCCAAATCCAAACCTAGCACAAGGAAGGAAATTATAAAGATCAGAGTGGAAATTAATAAAATTGATTTAAGAATAAATAAATCAAAGATGGGCCGGGGATTTAGCTCAGTGGTTTGGCCACCTGCTACGCAAGCGCAAAGACCCGAGTTCGATCCTGCTACTGGAAAAAAAAAAATCAAAGAGCCAATTCTTTGAAAGAATAAACAAAATGGACAAAATCTTAGCTCAAACTTACCAAAAAAAGGAAATGACCCGTATAAATGCAAGTAGAACTGAAAAAGGTGAAATTACAAAAGAAACTGCCAAAATACAGAAGACTGTTAGTTATTATTTTGAAAACCTGGACTCCAGTACTTTAGAAGATCTAGAAGAAATGGGTAGATTCCTAGACACATATGAATTACCAAACCTGAGCCCAAAAATACAAAAACCCTATACAACCCAAGAGCAGGGGAATGAAATTGATGCAGTAATAAAAAACCTACCAAGAAAAGCCTAGGACCCAGTAGATTCACTCCTGAACTCTACAAGAACTTCAGGAAGATCTAATACCAACACTCCTCAAACTCTTCAGTGAAACTGAAAGAGAAGGAAGACTGCAAAACTTAGTCCTGGAAGCTAGCAATATCTTAATTCCCAAACCAGACAAGGACTCAACTAGAAAAGAAAATAACAAGTCAATATCTTTAAACATCATAGGTACAAAAATCTGCAACAAGTCAAGGAGAATGCAACAAATCATTGAAAAGATTAGGATTAGGTCCAATAAATGCTAATCAATAAATGTGATACATCACTGTTATAGTTACTTTTCTTGTTGCTGAGACAAAATACCTGATGCCCAAAGTTAAGGGACGAAAGGTTTCTTTAACTCAGAGTTTATAGAAGTTTCAGTTCATAATCGGCTGGCTCCAAGGCACAGCAGTACACGACAGAGGGGTGTCACAGAAGAGAAATGGTTCACGGTGGGCAGAAAGTAGCAAAAGCACCAAGAGAGCTTAACAGGATCTTTCTGCCCCTTTTATTTTGTCTAGACTACTTAGGGCAGGTAGCACTCACACCCTTAATCCGACTGCTCTTGAGCCTAGCATTGCACCATGAATCAATTCCAGTGTCACACACTCTAGATGCAGTCACCTCTGAAAAAGCCCCACCTATGACCACATGAGGCTTTGGGGGGACATCTAGGCAGAAGCCCTAACAATCACATAAACAAAAGCAAGGACAAAAATCACACGATCATATCAACATATGCAGGAAAAGCCTTAGACAAAATGCAACATCCATTCATGATAAAAACCCTAAAGAAGATAGGTATAAAGGACTTTATCTCAATCTGATAAAAGCCATTTATGAGAAACTTACTGCCAACATCACAGTAAATGGAAAAAATTTAAAGTTTTTTTCTAAAATCAGGAACAAGAAAGCAAAGTCTGCTATCACCACTCCTGCTCCACATAGTACTGAAAGCATTAGCCAGAGCAATCAGGCAAGGGAAAGAAATAGCAAGTATATACATAGGAAAGGAAGAAGTCAAATTATCCTTATTTGCAGATGACACGATCCTTTATATAGAACACTCAAAAAATTCCACCAAAAGACTCAGAATTAATAACCAAACTCAGGAATGTAGCAGGATACAAAATCAGCACACAAAACTCATTCCTGTACACTAACAACAAGCCCACTAATGAGCTGGGTGTGGTGGCACACACTGTAGTTCCAGCATTCAGGAGGCTGAGACAGGAGGATTCCTGCAAGTTCGAGGCCAGCTTGGGCTACATAGTGAGTTCAAGTCCAGCCTGAACTACATAGCCAGAGCCTCTCAGAAAACCAAAACTAAAACCAAACCAAACCAAACCAAAACAAACAAACAAAACTCAATGAGCTAACCAAAAAAGAAATTAGGAAAACAATACTATTCACAATAGCTTTAAGAAAAATTAAATACTTTGGTACCAAAAAAAAGGTTATAAGTACAGTCACCCAGGTACTATTGATTAAATGGGGGTCAAATCCGGGAGCAAGTCACGTAGCAAGCATACCAGGATTTTCAGTAAGGGTGGGGGTCAGGGATATTTCCTGGAGAGGCTGGGTTAAGACCTTGACTGCCCATCCAGGTGGTTGATACCTATTCAGACTATCAATCACTGCTATTTATCCCCAGGGGAAGCACAAGGGTGTGTAGTTTCTCTCCTTTTACAATTCTGGCCTTCAGTGAGTGTGTCTTCACTGTCCTCCATGGTGGCTCCTTGACTGTCCTCCATGTTTGGCTCCTCCTGGGCTGGCCCTGTCTAACTGCCTACAGGATATCTAATTAAGTTACCTATCTGGAATATTCCCCCCTCTGAAGAAGGACCCCTAACTGCTGTGAGGGGGCAAAGGGTGAAGACCGTTCTGGCTTCTTCCAGCTGAAGAGGGTCGTAGTAGTATATTTTGATTTGCATTTCCATGTGGCTAAAGGTGTTAAGTATTTTTCATATAAGTATTGGCCATTTGTACTTCTTTTTTTGTTTGTTTGTTTGTTTTTTGGTACTGGGGATCAAACTCGGGAACTTGCGCTTGCAAGGCAGGCAGCAGGACCACTGAGCTAAATCCCTGGCCCCTATTTGTACTTCTTTTGAGAACAGTCTGTTCAGCTCAATTGTCAATTTATTGATTAAATTACTTGTTCTTTTGGTGAGAAATTGTTGAGTTTTTTATATATTGATATTAATCTTCTGTCAGATGAATACCTTGCAAGAATTTTCTCCCATTTTGTGAGTTGTTTTTGCTCTTCTGTTTTGTTTTTGCTCTTTTGATTGTTTCCTTTGCTGTGTAAAAAATTTTTAATTCGATATAATCTCATTTGTCAATTCTTGCTATTATTTTCCAAGTAACTGAAGTCCTACCCAGGAAATCATTGCTTAGGCTTTGAAGTCCTTTCCTTATGTTTTCCTCCAGTAATTTCAAACTTTCAACTTTTACATTAAAGTCTCCAATCCATATTGAGTTGACTTTTGTACAGGGTAGGGATTTAATTTCTATTTGCTACAGGATATGTCTAGTTTTCCCAACACCATTTGTTGAAGAGGGTGTCTTTTCTCCAGCATATATTTTTGCCTTTTTTTTTTTTAATTAAGAATCAGATGACTGTAGGTGCATGAGTCTACAGATGCTATTCTATCTCCTTAGTCTACAGGTCTGTTTTTATGCCAATATCATGCTAATACATATAGGGTATTTTTAAACTGGGTGTTGTGATACCTCCAGCATTCTTTTTGCTCAGAATTGCTTTGGCTATTTGGGATTTTTTGGGTTACATATGAATTTTAACTTTTTTTACTACTTCTATGAAAGATCTCATTGATACTCTCATGAGGACTGCATTAAATCTGTAGATTGCTTTCAAGAGTATGGCCATTTTAACAATATAAATTCTCCCAAACCATAAGCATGGGAGGTCTTTTCATCTTCTCTTTAATTTTTTTATTTTGAGACAGTCTTACCAAGTTGTACAAGCTGGGCTTGAACTTGCAATATTCCTGCCTCAGTCTCCTTCAGTGCTGTACAGGCACGTGCATGCCTGGCTTAAATCTGGAATATATTTCTTATAGACAATACAGGGTTGGATGTTTTGGTTTTTGTGGTAATGGGGATGAAACTCAATGCCTTGTGCATGCTAAGCAAGTGCTGTACCACTGAACTATACTCTCAACCCAGATAATATTTTATTATCCATGCTTCCAATATACACCTTTCAATTGGAGAGTTACATTAATGTCATTACCAATAAGGTAGGGGTTATATTCACCATACTACTACAAAAATTTTGAGTTGTTTTCATAGTGATTGCTCTGCAATAATAATTAACATTAGAATTTATAAAAATCTAATTTAGATTAATACTGACTTAATTTTAACAGTAGTGTGTGTGTGTGCATGCAACATCTCAGGCATTAAAAAAGCATAGATAATTCAAGCTGGAATACATTGTTGATACGAAACACAGCTCATACTCTAAAACAAATGAAATATAGTTTATTTTAAGCCAATTATGAGTGACCAAGACTCCGGAACACAGGTTCAGATTATCCTAAATAATGTGGTCCATTGTGGAAGAGGAAATCACACAGCCTTTATAGCCACAGAACGAAAGAAACTCATAACCAATGTATTTACCAAATATATTGGTGGGGGCATCAGGTGAGCGGGCCACAGCACAGTGGGGTGACCTCTTCTGTAGGTTTAAAATGTTATCTTTTGTTTTTTTTCCTATGGTATTGGGGATTGAATCTAGGACCTTTGCACTGAGCAACATCCCCAGCCATTTGTATTTTATTTTGAGCCTGGGTCTCACTAAATTATTAACTTGCCCAGCTTGTGTTGGAACTTGGAATCCTCTTGCCTTAGTCTCCCATACTGCAGGGATGCTAGGCATGGGACACCACACTGTTGAGGACTGGCCATGATATTTATAGATTGGTGGGGGCTAGGTTACAGGACCTGCAGTCTTGAGGCTGGTGGGACTTTTTTAGGGTTAGGGAAATATGTGGAAGGCCACACATTTCCTGGCTGTGTGGGGAAGGCTCCTAATATAACATCTGCTGAGGATAATGCAAAAAAAAAAAATGCAGGTATCCAGGTATGGGGAGGAACTTAATCCCCGTTAACTTGCTCCCTTTGTGAGGATTAACTTGTTCCTTATTTTTTGTTGTCTCATTCTTATTGCAGTTGCTGTTCTGGGAAAAGTACACTACCCCTTCCTCTGCACTTATTGCTGGTTAATAAAAGTGTGTCAACCATGGAGATTATTGAGTCTGTCCACTAGAGGTAGGCTCCTCCCAGTCCCCTTGAACTTTGAATATTGTCTTTGTTTCTCTTTATTCCCCATCATCCCCCCTACAGGTATCCAAGGATCTGATCAGCCCCTGGTACCACACTTAGCTAGAAGTGGTATTTAAAACCACATACCATGTGGCAGAAGCTGAGGCAGGCCCTGGGTTCAATCCCCACTACCACAAAGCCAAACCAAACCAAACCAAATCACACAACTGTACTGATCAGTGAGGAAGACAGAAAAGTGGCCAGGTTAGAGTGCTGGACAGATCCAATGTTAAAGTAGAGGAAGAAAGAGAGGGAGCAGTAGTCAGAGGTGAAGGCACAGTTCAAGTGTAGAAGATGTTGTCACTCCCTGTCAATATCTTCTGGCTCTGACTGCTTTGGGGGACCTTAGCTTGTTTTCCAAAGCCCAGTGTGTGCATCTCTGTGTCTGAGAGCTTTCTCTGGAGCCAAAGCTTACTTTATTGCCAAATGCAGCAGGCCGGGAACACTGAGGAATTCGTGTCTCCAGGAGCAGGCCTCTACACTGACCCCTAGAGTTGGTGTATGCATACAAAGTGTGATAGAAAAATACAGTGCATGTTTAAATCTAAAGATTACATTACAAGCTGGGCATGGTGGCATGTGCCTATAATCCCAGGACTCAGGAGGCTGAAACAGGAGGTTCAATGTGAGTTCAAGGCCAGCCTGGACTACATAGTGAGTTCAAGGTCAGCCTACAAGGAGAGACTGCCAGAAAAAAACGAAAAAAAAATCATATTCCAGTAAAAGACACACTGCCATGAACCCCTTTAAAGAACTTTTTGTTTCACACAGTCATCTCATCATTCTTGTCACTTCCTGAAGCAGTTCTGAAAGAATGTCTTGCGAATGTCTGTAGTTGTACTGATGTGGCTGACTCTAAATCCTGAACAGATTTAAAATGTTTCCTTCTTATAGTCATTCTGACTTTGAGGCAGAGCCAGAAGTTGAATGGTGCCAGATCTGATGAATGAGGTGGATGAAGACACATGGGAATGGTTCTACAAGCCTGCTTTTGTGATGGTTGGCACCAGGCAGCAGCATTCACTGAATTTTTGATCACAGCTTGTAAAGACAATCACCAAAGAGGACTTCCAGAACTGCTTCAGAAAGTGGCAAGGATGATGGGATCAGTGTGTCTGAAGCAAGGAGGAGTATTTTGAGGGAGGATTAATTATATTGTATTTTACTGTAATAAAATTTTCAAAACTTAAACACACATTATGTTTTTTGATCAGCCCTCTTACCTCGGCTCTCTCACCCCTCTGAAGTGAATGTGCTATGCGTGTCTCAGAGGTCCCAAGGAAGGGAACCCAGTGGCCTGCGGGGATAGTGTGCTTGGCACCCCAAGCTTTCTTAAGCTCCCTCCTTCCCTTCCATTTTGCATTTCTCTACTCTCCTCCTGGTGTTTCCTGGCATCACCTCTCAAATACACTCATTTCAGGTTGGGGTGTAGCTCAGTAGTGAGCAGTTGCCTAGCATGTGCAAGCTCCTGTGTTCCATTCCCAGCACCACAGAAGAGAAAAATACACTTGTGTCCGCTAGAATCCTTGTCTGAGTCCACCTCTGGGGGCACTCAAACAGTGACAGGTGTTTTGGGAAAAGCAAGGATGTAGCAACTTGGGACTGCACTCATCCACGAGGGAAGAGAAGAGGACCTAGGACTGAATGGAGTCTAATTGTAGGGGTCAAGAGAGAAGGAGGCTTGGAGAAAAAGCAGGAGCCAAGGAAAGGAGAGGGGAGGGCTCTGCAAGTGAGGAATTTGTCATCCGGGCTCAACACTCCAGAAAGGTGGAGCAGGATGGGGTCAGTTCCAGAGCCCCCAGGCTGGGGGAGACAGAAAGGACAGAGTGTGAAGAGGAAGTTCAACCCCACCATTCCCCCTCCCCCCTTCCCCTCCCCCCCTCCTCCTTCCAACCCCCTTATCTCCTCCCCTCCCCTCCCCCTCCTTCCTGTCTCCTCCTCCTTCCTCTCTCCTCCTCCTTCCTCTTTTCCTTCCTCCTTCTCCTTTTTTTTGGTTCCAGGAATCGAACTCAGGACCTTGTGCTTGTGAGGCAGGTGGCGGCACCACTGAGCTAAACCCCTGGCCCTTCCTTCTCATTTTCCCTTTTCTCCTCTCCTCTTTCTCCTTCTCCTTCTCCTCTCCCTCCTTCTCCTTCTGCTCCTTCTCCCTCTTCCTCTCCTTCTTCCCATGCACGTACTCCAACCCTCCTCCCCTTCTCTGCCTCCTCTTCTTCCTTATTCTCCTCCCTCACCTTTTTCCCTTCCATCCCTATCCACATTTTTCCCTCCTCCCCCTCCCCCTCCTCCTCCTCCTCGGAATTGGGGATGACATCTGGCGCCTCTACATGACAGGCAATTACTCTATTGCTGAGCTGAATCGTCAGCTCCACAATGTGGACAGGAAGCCCAGAGTCTCAGGAAGCACAGAGGCTCATGTGACCGGGCTGGCTGGTCAGGGAAGGCTTCCTGGAGGACATGATGCTAGAGGAGTCTTCAGGAGAGGGGGGAGCTTTTGAGGGGTCTAGGTGTAGGGAGCAGGGAAAGGGGACCTTACCGGAACCTCTGCAGTGAGTCCTGGTCTCCTGCGAGCCACGGCGGCACACGGCGAATTACAGGAAAGGTAGGAAAATGAGACTGAGAAGAAGCCGAGCTTTGGGTCTGATCAGTGCTGCTCTGGGCGGCAAAGATGAAAGGCCCCAGCTTACCGCACCTTTTATTCAGTACTCAGTACATCGGGAGAAACAAATGTAACAGATGACTTGCAGAGAGTTCAGTACATCCGTGTAAACAAGATGGTCACAGTCCAAGAGCAATGAGGAACTGAGTAGATGTTTGTTCCTCCCAGGATGTTCTCAGCTCCCAGGATGTTTCTTGTCCTGGAGAATCACAGACACGGGATCGTTGAGGTCTCAGTGTGACCGGAGGCCAAAATGCAGTTATGTCTCGGAATTCCATAGCTGGGTATGCAGGAGAATTAGGCTAACCAAAATGATTTTTCCCTAAAATTATGTAGCTTTGCTCCCGACATCTAGGAAGAGGGGAAAAGAAATTCCCACCTGAGGCAACAGCACAGGAGAGGGAGAATGGTGTACAGGGTGTGGAGATCTCTGAGGAAGAGTCAGCGCTTTGGAATGGCTGGGTCCACACCTCAGTTTTTCTCTTATTGTTAGGTAATAGATGGATGTTTGTCAGTTTTTGTGGGGCAATGGCTGGATTTGGAGCTAGAGAAGGAGGCAGGGTCAGATCACGAGTCTGGACTGGGAAGATGGGCCATTTGTAACTGTTCTTGAGGACACTGGGCAGCTACGGAAGGTGCTTAAGGAATGGAGAATCACAGGGAGAGTGTGGTGTTCTGGTGGCCGGTACAGAGGACACCAGGGGGAGGCCACACTGCAGGGTGTAGTAGTGGGTCAGGGGAGGCAGCCTGGAGTTAGGGTGGGCTGAGGGGATGAGCAGAAGTGGGGAGAAGAATGGAGATGGGGTGACTGATAACATTTCAGGAGAGCAGGCCTGGAGGCTGAGGACTGAATTAGGCATGGGCAACTGTTGGTTCACAATGTCCAAATGACAGGGACTGGCTGCACTTTTTGGGAGGAAGCCTGGCCAGGTGTGGTAGGCACCGCTGGGGCAGTGCACAAGGGAGCCATGTGAGTCCTCCCCACCCGGAGCCTCCAGTGCAAGGGACTTCCCTGAGGGAGGAAACGCCCAGGCACCAACATCCCAGCCCTTCGGGGCTTGTTAGTGGCTGGGGGCCCCCGGGACAGCAGCTCCTGGGATCCGGGGATATCAGGAGCCTGGCGCTCAGCCCCTCCCTTCCCAGGCAGAAAGCAATGCTGGTGGGGACAGCTGGAGCCTCCCTGGGCCATGGTGAGTGTGTGGCCCCACCCTGCACAGCCTCAGGGTTGACATCTGAAGCTGACTGAGGGGATAGCGACCTTAGAGAGGGTCTGAGAGCTCACCCCAGATGGCCAGGCCCAGAGAGGGACGTGGAGGGAGATTGCAGCAAACTGTTTCCTTCTGGGGCTCAGCCTGACAGCGGTGTGGGGGAGAGGAACACGGAGGGTCGTCACCATCGGGGTCACAGAGGTTCCAGAGGCTGAGATCAGGACCCTAACCCACCCTGCTGCAGAATAGGTGTGCAGGTTCGCTGATTCTTCACAGGAAAATAATTCTCATGACACATCAGTGACGGGCATGGGAAGGGTTTGTTAGGCAGAAATTGAAAATGAAGTATTCAGAGAAATAGAGTGCAGTCCTGAAGAGGGAGAGAGTGGGAGAGAGGGAGAGAAAGGGGGAGAGAGAGCATTGTTTCCAGACCTGGGAACATGGATGCTTCTTCGGGGGGTGGCACCCAGGAAACAGTGACTCATCCCTGAAAAAGGTGGTGGCCCATTTTACACTTATGGGCCAATTTGTATTTTTCTTTAAGATAGATGATTGAAGCGTTCTTTGGATTCTCTCAACCTGTTCCTTTATCCCAGGATCAGGTTCCTGCCCTTCACTGTCTCAGCTAAGTGGATCTGCGGACTCTCAGGATTCCTGGGGAATTTGGGGTGTGATGGGTCTGGAAGGAGAGGGAATGTCGATGAGGATCACCTCGGGGTGACTCCCACTGGGACCCGGAAGTTGCCATTTCTTAAAAGTATGGCTTTAAGTTATGATTTCCTTGTCTTCTTTTTACCTATCTTTTAATTCTTTTCTCCTGCCTCGGTTGGAAGAGCACATGAGGGGTGCTGCGGAGCGGGGGAGGCGTCTCTGGGGGTCCTGAGGAGAGGGAACCCCTCCGCCACTGCACACCCCAGACCCAGACTGGGGTGCACAGGTGTGGGAACTTCCAGCAGGTCTGCGCCCAGCTCTGAGCTCTCAGCACGGGGCTGTGAACCCACACAGACCCATGGGCACAAATGCACACGTGCTCTCTTTCTTTCCCTTAGAATCTTGCAAGGTGAAGGCTCAAAGGGGCCAGGGCAAGGGTCCTTACTTTTGGGGGATTCCTGAGGAGAAGGAAGCGGGACAACAAGGACCCACAGCCTCCTCCCGTGTCCCCCAGCCCTAGGTGCCCACTCCCCTCAGGAGGCCACCCAGCCCCTCTCCTACTCACAGTGGAGGTGGCACCTGCTGTGTCCCTGAGCTCAGCACCCGCTGTCCACTCCACACCAGCCGGACCGCTGTCCTGGGCATCCACAGTGGGGGCAGTGTTCATGGGTCCAGGTGCAGGTGAGGGTTGCTGGTCGTCCGGTCCCCTGACTTCCTGTGGACCCGGCCCTGTGTGCACTTGGAAGGATCAGGACTTGAAAGCCAGATGCGTGGAGCCAGACTCACAAGTCACAGACACCCGGGGGCTGCAGGGGCAAATTCCGACCCCTTCAGGGCCTCCCTGGTTCTCCCTCTCATATCTGGGGCCAGGACAATGGCCTCAACCTTGTCACTGACCCACAGCACCTGTGAGTTCACAGCTTCCTCTCTGTGTTCCCAGCTGAGACGCAGAGGGCAGGGCCCACAGCCCAGGGTCCCACCGCCCCTAGTCCTGGTAGGGACCGACACGCTGATCCAGGCTTGTCTGATTTCAGAGCTGGGCCTTGCTGTCCTGCTGGTCCCTGCCTGTGTGTCCTGAGCACAGGGTTTCTGCTGCAGGTCGTGGGTGTTGCCTGTGCAGGTAGTGATCTCCCCGTCCCTAGAGGGGAGCAAGTGCAGCCTGGGACACTGTGACCGAGTTCACCCTGCTGAGTGTGTAGTGAGGGTGCGTCCTTCCTCTGTCCCTCTTTAGGTGCCCCAGGTGGTCCCTTCCCCTGGAGAAGCCCGGGACAATCCTTAAGGAGCCCTTCCTGGTTGGCAGCTCAGAGCCGGCCCCTCAGGGTCCCTCTGAGAGGCGGCCCTTCCTCTGCGGGGCTCTCCCCATGCAGCCTCCTCACCTCTTCCTGAGGACTCAGCCTGTGCGGGCTGCGGGAGCTCAGGGTCTGCCCCTCGCCTTCACTTCTCCCACACACTCGCTGTTCGGGCCCTTCTTCTCCTCTCACTTGTTTTACACAGGCTGCACGGACTCACGGGCTTCATGGTGCGGATCTGTACAGGCCCACGACATATTCAGTCACCGTCACCGGTCACCCTTGCCTCTGCCTTCTGCCCTGGCTTCACAACTCTGGAGAGTTTCAAGCATGAAGTATATTCTGATCATATCCATGCCCATTACCGACCCTCTCCCCGCTCCTTCCCTCTTGTCTAACAGTGCTCCCCTGTGCTTTCTCCCATCTTTGTTTACATTCCACACATTTGGGAGTGTTCAGGTCATTGGCTGAAAACTTTCAGTTTGAGTGGTTCTCTCTCCCTCCCTCTCTCTCTCTCCCCCTCTCCCCTTCCTTCCTTCCTTCCTTCCTTCCTTCCTTCCTTCCTTCCTTCCTTCCTT